TGGCTGATTTGACAAGCCCGCAAGAAACTTTTTCTTTTTCCCACTCGGCTGCCAAACTTTGGCCATATTTAGTTGTGCGTGGCTTTTTTCTTTCTTTTTTTTTTTAAACAACAAACCCAGAGGAAACACTGGTGGGAGGAAAAATACATGCTCCAAATCAAAATGGATGCAGATTCAAATTTACTCCACCGCGAGGTCTCCTATCGCCGCCGTTCTGCACACAGAGAGTTAATCGTACACAATTTATAACAATCAAAATCCCCTCCATATTGCTCAGATGGGGTCCAAGTGCTCCCCTGTCTTTCTGAAATCAGTGACAAGTGAGTCTTTGTGGGGCATTTATTTTCTTCTTTTCTCTAGATGACAGCTCCCCATTCTGAGAGCGGAGAGCTGTTTGCTGCCAGCCACACACCACCCCAGAGCCCAAGCTCTTCATCGGCGAGGCGCATGAGGAAGTCCCCCCCACCCCAACCCCAGACAAAGAGCTATAAAAACTCAGAAAAGACGTGGAAGAAATGAAGTTTAAGATATAGATGCACTTTTACTGATGTATTAAATAACATTTAAGACATTTAAAAAAGTAATACATCTTCATGTTATCAACAACCAGAATTCTGGGAACAATGAGAGAGGCCAGGGTGTTTTGATGCGACGTGATATTGTGTCTAAAACCTCTAATAGCTAAGCCAAGCAGAGTTGTTATTATGGTAAAGGGAAAGTACTACATGATAAAGTTAATTAACTTTTTTTCTTTAAAAAAAAGGGGGGGGGGGGACATATTTCCTAGCTTCCCACCAAACACAAGAACAATGTGAAAATATTTTGATCTTTATTTATCTCCATAACCCAGCAAAGCCTTAAAGAAAACTAAAAAGCCATTTTCTGGCCCTCTGTACTCACATCTATATAAGGGGCATTGAAATAAGTCTGGCTTAAGTTCTACAAAGGTGAGCAAGTTTATTCCATAATTTGCTAGTTAAGTGGCAGGCCCTGCAACTTGTGCATTATTTCCCATCCTGAATCAAGTGGCGATAGGTACCAGGAGCCCTGGTTCTCTCCTACCACCATCTGCCCCCTGTTAAGAGACTGTGCATCATTGAAAAAGTAAACTTCCCTGAACAAGGAAAACATTTGTTTAAAATTTAGCTGTAGGTCCCATTTAGTCATGTTGTCAAGATTTGTCCATAGTACTTCAAGATGCATCTTTTTCTTTCATTTTAAAGAAACACTGTCCCTTTTGCCTCACTGAGATATGTAAGCAGACCACCGCCCCCGCCCCCCGCAAAATACTTATACCTTTCACCTTCCCTTCACCATCCTTCTTCCTTTTTCTGTATAAGCTCCGTTCTTTCCCTTATTCTTTACCTTGTCTAGGCATTTAATAGAATCTAGAACTGAGTTCTATAAACTGATTGAAAAATCAACAAAGACAAATCACAGAGACCAGTGATAAAAAGATCATTTCTCTCACCCTGCAATCCAGCACTATCCAAGTCGCTGCTTCCACAATAAGGCAAATGAAAGGCAAATGAATGCAGCATATAGACACACAAGGGCAGGTACCAGTGTGATCACATGCCACCCCCCCATTGTTGCTGTTGCATCTCTTTATTAGTTGCTTTTGGAGAAATAAGATGATAGAAAGATGAGTGCTTTTATTAAAGCCATTTCACCAGAAAATTTTGCCAACCACTGTGGCTCCCCTGGTAGGAGCTGGAGGGGAAGGAGAATATTGCTTTTGTTGTTGCATCTGAAATATAAAGGAGGTAACTTCGTGGGAACCGAGAATGTTTAGAAGTGCCAAGCATAATATTATTTATGGCCATTCCCTCCAGCTGACCATCGCATAACTCTCCCACAGGATTGTTTCTTCCCCATCTTACACCATACATTTTAAAAGGAAACATAGGAACTCTTTCAGGATGGCTGTATTCTGCGTTACTGTCTTTAGGAAAACGAAAGGGTTGGTCATGGCTAGTCAGCATTTTAGGGATGACTGCCCCACAGATTTCTCTCAGTGGCAATGATGGAGTTTTTCATCTTAGCATGCCATACACTCCCCAAAAGGGCATCAAAAACTGCCAGAGTAGTTCTAGAGTCAGAATGGCAGGCATGGGTCAAAACCATGGCATGTCCGTTTAACACGTGACGGTTTCCAGTCAGTAGTCCCCGTGGCTAAGAACAAAAAACACGTTCTCAAGGCCCACTCAAATGCCCTGCAGAGGGCACATGCTGCTTGTTTTCTGCCTACCATGGAGGGGGAATATTGACCCAGAACTCAAATCTATAGCCAGCTTAAACATTTTACCCATCAGCATGACTGCGGTCACAAAATACTTCTTCTTTCTGTCACTTCTCTTTCAGATTATTGATAAGATCATTTGGCTGAATCTGTTTGGGACCTGGGTATTATTGACTAGGAGTTAGAAAAGATGATCAGATGTAATAAGCCTAGAAACTACCTTTCAAATGGGCATATATACTTAAACCACTGTTCCAAGGAGGGTTTTAAATACATCAGCAAACTTGTAAACTAATGCAACACTGCTTGTATTTCTCACTAACCTTAAAACTGATTTTGGTTAAGTGTGATGTTCCCTCTAAGACTATCTGAAACAATGTTATTCACATCCCAATCTTGAGCCTCTTCCCTACGTTCTTTTCTTTTTCTTTTATTTCCTGTTTCAGATCCTGTTTGCTTGCTTGATGAGAAATAGACACTACTATATAAACCATTGCAAATACCATCTTTCTCTGTAAGCCTGAAAGGAAAAACATATAGCACCTACCTCTAATCACCTGGCAAACACACATAGTGCATATTGCCAGAAGCATTCTTTGTTGAAAGATATTTGTTAATCATGGAAAAGAATAACTCTCTTAACTAAGCCTTGTTTTTCTGTAGGTCCCAAATTATGTGAGGACATGTGGGTAAAGATCAAAGTTCACCTAGTTCCATGGATGCTCTCCAAAAAAGCACAATCAGATAAGGTAAAGCTAACCTAGAAAGAAGATGCAGGGACACTGCAGATATGTCAGGGGACAAATATCTCTTTGTCAGACCATGAAATGGAAACAAATTGAAGCTCAAACCCAGTGACCATTTCAATGAAATGCTATAGGCATAGTAACTGCAAGGTTTGGGACCGATAGTTTTTGCAAAGAAAAGTGAACCAGAAGAATAATTGCTCTTAAAAAAAAAAAAAAAGCTCCTGAAAGTTATAAACATGAAATCTGGCAGTATATGCATAAAATTTATTCCAAAACTTTATGAAGTATAAAGGAAGGGAAGTGTTTACACACAACTCAACTTAGTATAAGGTCTAGGGTTTTCCCCCCTTAAAACTTGGCACTATTTTTAAGATAAAATAAAGATATTTCAATAATTAGAACAAACTACGAAGGTATTGTGCATTTCTGTTTTATGTAGATAATAAAATATTACTTTAACATAAATATATAAGGATCTCTGCGTTTTTATTTTCCCCACAAGCACAACCAAATGTACCAAAACAAAGTATTTTTAAAGAGACTGAACAAAAAAAAATTACATCCCATATAGATTTTGCTTACCTACTCATTTAAAGCTACAGAAAAACAGTTTCCAGAACCTTTTTGCTTTAAAAGAAATAAATATACATTGAGGCAGGCCACTTAAAAATGATATGAAAATATTTCCCTGGGTAGCATTTAAAAAAAAGAAAATAGACAAAGAAACATTTAAACTATTTCTGCATTTCAAAAGACAGATATTAAACATATATACATAGCGGTAAGGTTCAGTGGTAACTTTCATCTTAGTAAACCTATGAGAGTTAAGAGGCTTCAGACACATCCCCTGAACTCCAGCTTCTGACCTTACCCACTTGGTAATAAGAATTTGAAAATTCATTTCCTCCCTTCACCATTGGCTCTCGGTCCTGCTCTGGATTGCTTCTCTAAAGGCCAGTTCCCACACCTCAGGAACAGGCAGCATGATGCACCCCCAAGGAGCTCCATGCCCATCTCCTTGAGACATTCACTGGGGGAAATGAAATACAGGCAAATAAATATGCCCATTTATAAGCCATCATTTATCTTGCAAAAACACTGAAAATGAAACAATCACAGGTGTTTGAAAAGACAATATAAAGCATAGTTCCTAAAACCTTAACTACTGATTGCAATGCTAATTTGATGCTGAACCATCATTTTCTGGTAGTGAGAATTTAATTTTTTTAAATAAAAATTTGTCTAAGACCTAACCAGAAAAAAAAAGCCCCAAACTTTTAAGATGAATACAAAGTATTTTCCCTTTTAGCGCCCTTTTGTGCTGATTATTATCTAATATTTTAACTGATCACAGTTTAATGGTATTTATTTTCAGTAAAGTTACAAGTTGTGTTTTTTTTTCCACTTACACTTCTCTGTAGAGTCTTTTGTTAAGGGAGTCAACCGTTTTCCATCAAGATAAGGTAAAAAAAAAAACGCACTTAAAACTGTTAACAAAGGGAGAGTAGGAAGGATTGAAAATAACATTGTTTCCCTATACTTCATTTGGCTTCTTTAGTAAAAGAGGGGGGAAAGCTGTCCAAGTCAAACTGGTATTTTCTGTAATAAATTACATATGAATAGGGTGTGGGACCTTATATATGATTTGATAAACAAATGAGCTAGTGAAGACAAAAGTCAGCCTAGAGTGGAGATATTCTCTGTAGGCATGTGGGTATTTCGTGTGCTAAGAATCATAGTCTATGCATACACCATTAAGTTCCCAGATTATTTTATGTTAAAAAAAAAGCTATTAGAGGAACAAAGTTTAACTGCTGCTGTCAGCACAAATAATTCCTCATAATTAAGTTATTAAAACTGAAGGCAGAGAACTGAGCGGTGGTGTCTAAAGATATATATTTCCCTTGTTCCTTTCAAGGTGCCACTTTCCTTCTGTTGGACAACTCTGAAAATATATTTAACTTCGGCATTTCCTCTGAGCTCTTTCACAATGGGCCCCGCCTGATAAA